TTTTTTTTTTATATATTTGTAATATAAATTTGTAATATTTTGTAATTTGTTGTTAATATATATTTTTTTATGTAATTGAGTTGGAATTATATTTTTTATATATTTTTCACAAATGGGAATTGACCATTTCTATTAGCAAAATTCAGGGTTCAGCATTGATTATAAACAAAAAATATAACAAATCTGCCCCAAATGTGTGATAACCGAACAGATATATCTGCATTTCAAAATATAACCGAACAGATACAAAAAATATAGAACAGATTTGTACATCAGAACAGATATATAACATTGGCATTTCCTTCAGTTTAAACAACGGTGCCTTCATAAATCTGCCCCAAATTTGTGATTACCGAACAGATTTTGAACATAACAACAGATCCAGAATCCCAGATTTGTCACAGAGACAGATCGGTGCCCCGTCTGTGTGTAATGTAAGCGTAATCAACCCAATCGACGCCATGCTACGCTTTAATATAAATTAAATTTACATGAATCAACATGAACAGATACGAAGAGTAACGCAAATTTATATTTTAATATGTTTTTAACATCGTTTTAATATATTTGTAATATTTTTTTTAATATACCCAATTTTGTCATATATTTGTAATAACTTTTTAATATATTTACCTTCCTTCCCAAATTTAGTTCCAAATATATTTTTTATCTAATTAATATATTTTTTAGAAATGAGAATTGAGCATTTCGTCTTGAGTAAAAAATATACGCAAATTAATACATCTAATTTGTAATATATTTTCAATATATTTTTTTTGATATTTTGAAAAAAAATTTCAATATATTTACGATATAGTTTTTCATAATTAAATTTTGTCATATATGTCTAATAAAATTTTTACAGTATTTACTTTTTAAATCTAAATTTGTAATATACATTTCACATATATTTTTTTTCATATCTTGGTAATATATTTTTAATATATTGCTTAATTGTTGACAATTTTTGTTATTTTTTTTTTGTACTATAAGTTTTATATATTTTGTAATTTGTTGTTAATATATATTTTTTTATGTAATTGAGTTGGAATTATATTTTTTATATATTTTTCACAAATGGGAATTGACCATTTCTGTTAGCAAAAATTCAGGGTTCAACATTGATTATAAACAAAAAATATAACAAATCTGCCCCAAATGTGTGATAACCGAACAGATATATCTGCATTTCAAAATATAACCGAACAGATACAAAAAATATAGAACAGATTTGTACATCAGAACAGATATATAAGATTGGCATTTCCTTTAGTTTAAACAACGGTGCCTTCATAAATCTGCCCCAAATTTGTGATTCAGAACAGATATATAAGATCAACAGATCTGATTTTCATAAATAAGAACAAATATTTTAAGAAGAACAGATATATTATATATATGTATGTATATATACAAATCTGTCCCAAATTTGTGATTACCGAACAGATTTTGAACATAACAACAGATCCAGAATCCCAGATTTGTCACAGAGACAGATCGGTGCCCCGTCTGTGTGTAATGTAAGCGTAATCAACCCAATCACGACCGTAAAGCAACAGATCGGCCATGAACCGATGCTGTTATGAACCTAAACTATGCAGATGGGAAGAAGAAGAAGAGAAATCAGATAGGCCATAGAGCATTACCTGCAGATCGGTTTGAGTTTGAGAGGCTTCGTTGTTGTTTGCCGCCGCGGATGCGTACTCCGGTGGCGATTTCCTCTGCCAAGGTCGCTCAGATGCCGTCAGATAGCTCCGTTCTTCTTCTCTTCTGCTTTGCGAAGGGTGTGTTGGGTTCAATCTGAGGCTTGTCCTGCAGATGGAAGAGAGTTTAACCTATCGGGCATTTGGGTAAATTTACACGACCAAGCCTCTCCTATACCCGTGAAATGCATTTTTGTCGGGACGTGGCTGAAATAGCCAACTTTGTCTCGACGTGGCTAATTTAGCCCGGCTTTTCCTTCCCAAACAACACCTTAAATACTAATTAAATCTCAATTATCAGTGTGTTTATTTATTTATTTTTGTTTTTAATGAATATTTTTTAATTTTAAACAAATTGTTTTTAAATTTTTTTAGATATACCTTATTTAGATGTATCTAAATAGTAAATTATTTGTGAAAAAATATTTTTAAAAATTAATAATATATGCAAAAATACGAAAAATGTATTAAATTTTTATTTTTATTTTATTTTACATTTTTCGTATTTAGTGAATTTTTTAAAGATTTTTTTTACAAATATTGTATTGGGTTCAATCTGAGGCTTGTCCTGCAGATGGAAGAGAGTTTAACCTATCGGGGCATTTGGGTAAATTTACACGACCAAGCCTCTCCTATACCCGTGAAATGCATTTTTGTCGGGACGTGGCTGAAATAGCCAACTTTGTCGCGACGTGGCTAATTTAGCCCGGCTTTTCCTTCCCAAACAACACCTTAAATACTAATTAAATCTCAATTATCAGTGTGTTTATTTATTTATTTTTGTTTTTAATGAATATTTTTTAATTTTAAACAAATTGTTTTTAAATTTTTTTAGATATACCTTATTTAGATGTATCTAAATAGTAAATTATTTGTGAAAAAATATTTTTTAAAATTAATAATATACGCAAAAATACGAAAAATGTATTAAATTTTTATTTTTATTTTATTTTACATTTTTCGTATTTAGTGAATTTTTTAAAGATTTTTTTACAAATATTGTACTTTCTAAGTGTATTTATGTTAGGTGTGTCTAAAAATTAAAAAAATTACATAAAATATTTTTAAAAATTAGTGAAAACAAAAAAACACAAAAAATAAAAAAGTAAAATTTTTTGAAAAGTGAATTATGAAAACAAACAGAGTGAATTTTATTTGGAATAGAATTCTTGATAATGTTTATGACTAATCATATAGTGTCCATAACAACATATCCAATGCTTTTTTTTTTTTTTTTTTATCCATCAAAATTGAGTAAAATTTTGGATTAAAAAATTCATATAATACTAAGTGTTTTAACGCTAAATTTTTAATTTTCATCAAACAATCGGTAAATCGGGAAGACGATCAGGAAAATGTTCCGGCGATCGATCGACAATGGGCAGAGCAATGGGCCATTTTGCAAGTGACTGGTTGTCGCTAGTCGTTCAGAATATGGTAAAGTGCAACGACTCTTTCTAAAAATTTGATGAATGTTGAAACCTCTTTCAATTTGATAAAACTGTTGCTTTTTTCCCAATTTGATATAAGTTTGATGTCAGGGTTGGAGGAGAAAAAGTAAGCTTTTTTCATCAAATTTAAATTTAATTCCAAATTTTAGTAAGTGTTGGAGACGCTCTAATGTAGCCAAATAAATTCATTTTCAACAAAACAGAATACTATTTTTAAAACAATACTTGTCTATGTTTTTTTAAGACAAATTTAATAAAATAAAACAATAATTGTCTGTCTATTTTTTTTTATAAATAAAATTTGACAAAATTATATGATTATGATGCAAGGTTTGCTTTTTTGAATTTTGTGAAAATTATTTTTTTTAATATTTTTTAATGTTTGGTACTATGAAAAGCAAAAATCAGAGAAAAAAGTTTTATATTATCAATGGAAATAAATTTATTTGGACAAAATTTTTAATTTTTACTTCAAAAATAAAAAACGTTTTTCGAAATTACCACATTACCTGCACGACCCTACTAATGCACATTAATTAATAAATTTTAAAGGTGTGTTTGGTTTTTGTTTTGAGATAAATTTTTTAAAAAAAATTTAGGGAGAGAGTTTTGAAATTTTTTGGTCTGTTTGGTTGTGTATTTTGAAAATAGTTTTGAAATTTAGAGATAATTTGATACTATTTTGTTATAGTTAAGTAGATATGTGTGAAAAAAAAAGTGATTGAAGATGAGCGAGGAAAGAGAGAGAAAAAGTGATTGATTGATGTGTAATAGAGAAAGAAATAATTTTAATTTTTTTTTTGAAAAAATTTATAACCAAACATGTTTTTGAAAATTTTCTTCTAACATGTTTCAAAACACAAACCAAACACACCCTAAAATTTTCAACAAATTGGATAAGAAAAGGGCACTCTTTGAATTGGATGGACTGGTTTACTTTGTTTTCCAAAGTAAATAGTGAAATGACAAACAAATATCACTTTGGAGATGATTTTATGGAGTTTTTTGGTCATTAAATTGCCATAAATTGGAAACAACTTAAATTAACCTGAAGTAAACATTTGTTGCTTGTGAATTTCTCTATACTTTCAAGCGAAATACAAAAAATTGAACTATTGCCATTAGAAAATCTGAACTCCTTTACATGATTTCTTTCACATTCAACGGCCTATTTAATCCACTTCCCAGATTATAACCCACTTCCTCTCTCATAAAAAAGTTGCTTATAAACAGCTTTTGTTATAACCATCTTCCCAAAATAGACAAGAAAAACAACCCACATCTTCCCAAATCAATATACACATATATGCAAGATTTACACCGCTATCAATATATATATATGGTTTGCATAAATCTTTCATATCTTGTTAATGTCGCAAAGGTATCGACATGAAAGCTCCATGAAAACCATAAGGCACTCTACTTGGTAGTGTAATTTTGGCTACCGGCTCACTACAAAACTTCTTCGTATCAATTATATAGACCTGCAATAGAGCAAATACTAAATCTTCATAAATCAATGTATGACATTAGAGTTCCCAATTAGACTATAGTTACTGTTGTACTAACAATTACTTACAAATGATGTATCAGTATGTTCATTGTGAACAAAAGTGATGATCCAACCATCATCTTCTTTGCCTCCTTCATGTTTAGGGACAAATGCAGCCCCGGAACAGAAAGTGTTTTCCTCAAATTTATGATACTCCACCTTTATAAACTCTTCGCATCTCTCTGTCTGATTCACAAATCAAAGTTGTCGAAAATCAGATTCATAAGCATCGATAATAGAATCAAAAGATCCAAAAAAAAAAAAGATAAAGGAACATGAAGAAGGCAACTACCAAAGAAAACCCGGGTTCTGATTCTTCAAGGTATAGCTTAGCTAGTCCCCCAAATTTAGCCATGCCTAAATTAAAAATTGATACACAGCTATATAGTTAGCCATTGAAGTCATAAAGATAATTTTCTCTGTTTCTTTCACAAAAATTTACCTGAAGTAGAGCTTGCAGTGGAATCCACAACTTGGGTATATCCATATTTATTTTTTAAACCTGTGAAATTTTCATTTATTATAGGAAAATCCATGGAGGACTCGGTTCCAGTGAGATTCATTCCCTTAACCTCTCCGGTTTTCATGTTCAGTCTCCATTCATAACAACGTGAAAAAAGTAATGAATCTTGTGCTGAACTATCATTATTTTCTTCAGTTGAATTTAGAGGTTTAAATCCCCTAGAGAACCACTCGAATTTGTTCAAGCCTAGATCAGGCCCTGGAATAATTGACCCACGAGCTCTGCATGCCCAAAGCACAACCTCATCGCCATCCTCAAAACAGTTGATAATGTGAAATACGATACTTGGTTCCACTTCAAACCACTTGATTGAATTTGCATCACCATAACGAGGCATGACACCAATTCTTGCATATCCTTCCTTTTCATATTTTATTAATCTGAATAACGACATTCCAGATCATGGTTAGAGAACAATTTCAACTTTGTACTTTAAATTTCGTTAGAAATGCATCTTAATAACAAATACTCACGGGCCTCCACTGATTAATCGGTTTATGTCTACAGTTAGAGGAAAATCCATGATCACATTGTACCTGCACAACAAAAAAATGAGAGAATTTATTAGTTGTTTGGAGACCAAGAAAAAGAAAATATGTATTAGATCAGTAATTTACCTCTGTGTAATGCCTATATCATGGCAAAGGCTAGTCCTATTGAATTTGAGATCAACTTTATGAACTAATTTCGTTCCATCGGCTGATAAAGAGGGAAAAAAAATTCAGATTTACAAAGGGCCTCTAGATCAATGTGTTTAAGATGTGAATTAATCTAAAACTAGAACACAAAAAAATATACCTGAGATTATACCGAGTTCAAGGAAAGGTTTCACTGCATCAACCCCTATCATAACCAGCTCCCCTGTACCCGGAACTTTCTATGGCACCAAAAAATAAATAAATAAATAAATAAAATTAAATTAAATCGTGGGTATGACATTTTTGTGGCAGTTAACGAATTAGGTACCTTCGGGTGACTTGTGAATGGTCGATTCCAAGCTCCATTGGCATCCCAATGGCCTAAAGTTTCAAGTGTGAGGATGTCAATTTCTTGAGGCAAGTGGTTCTCAGCAATTGTATAGAACTTCCCTGAATGCTCAAACACATTGGTATTGCTAATGTCTTTGTTCACTTTGCCAAACCTCATCTGCATAAATTAGAATTTTCAGTTTTTGTGTATTTTGGTTGGAATAAGAAAAAATGAAAAAGTTTGAAAACACTTACCGTTTCCATTTTTATTCAAATAAGATTTTGAAAAATCAAAAACAACTTTTTAATATTTCCAAAAAGTGGGTTGTTTTCTTAATAATCTCTAGAAAATAGTATGCCAAACAATTTTTTTGTGCTTTCAGGAAAAAGAAAAGAGAAAACAAATGAAAACGATACCAAATTAAGCAGATAAGCAGACAAAATAGCCGGCGAATCGCCTTCGATAGCAGGAAGAAAGGAGGGTTTGTTTCTTTGTTTCTCTAACTTGAAAGTCTCTGTTTGAACATGGCTGTTGTTGTAGAGGACTGTCCATTTGCCATCTCTGTCTTCATTAAAATATAGAGCATGAAGCATTCCTTCTCCTTCAACCCATATGTGACTTGATCTACCAAACATGGACTTCGTTGATTTAAATCCTCCGAATAGGGGGTTTGGGCCTGCACTTCCAATAAAACAACATGCACAAGTTAATGACATTTTAACGTGTGTTCGCGGGTGACGGCAGGTGTATTCCAGAGGCTTCAGCCGAACCCATTGAATTTTTTGGCAAAGGTTATTTTTTTTTGACTTTTAAACTAAAATTTATAAAAAGATAAAATAAGTTAAAATAGTCAATAAGACAAAATATCAGATCAAATCCATAATCATTTCATTTTTTTTTTCTCACAAACATCATATCAATAACAAAAAAATCCAACTATCTTCTTAAATACAAAATTTTTAGCCTACTAAAATAGTCTATTAAAATAATAACTTTCCAAACAGCCACAATAACTTCATATATATATGATACAGTTAGGAGACATGCGAGTTTATTCCCTTTTGAACCCTCTCAATTTTTTCTATTTGAACCCCTATTTCAAACTTTTCTTGATGTCCTTTAGTTTATAAGGTTGTGTGTTTGGTTTAAGGATTTTGAGAGGAATTTAAAAAGGGGAAGAGAAAACTCTTCTTTATGTCCTTTAGTTTATAAGGTTGTGTGTTTGGTTCAAAGATTTGGAGAAGAATTTGGAGGGAGAAAGAAAAAATATAAGTGAAATGTGAATAAATATACATATATTTTACTAAATTTCTTACACATTTTCTCTTTCCTTTTCCAAATTCTTTCCTAAATCCATAAATCAAACACAACCTAAGAGAAAATAAACAAACCTCAAAAAATATATAATGTTTGTATATATATTGGGTGTGTTTGGTTTGATTTTGGGAGATAAATTTTCAAAAAAGATTTTGGGAGAGAGAGTTTAGAAATTTTTTTGGTTTGTTTGGAAGTATATATATTTTGGAAATAATTTTGGAGTATGGGAGTTTGAGATGATTTGATATTTTATTATAATTGAGTAGATGTATGTGAGTAGATGTTTAAAATTATATTTCATGTGTTAATATTGTATTAATTTAATAAACTTCACTATTTGTATATATTACCATTACAGTGATGATAAATAAAATAAAATATAAAATTGGATAATCATAATATTATTATGAGGAGAAGGATTTTTACAACAATCATCCAATGGGTGTTGATAAAGGTTCAAATAATGCAAAATAATATATATAATTTTAATAATCTTTTCTCACAATTATACATATATATATATATACTTTTTAATATATATGTATATATTCATACTTTTTAATATATATTATATATATACCAATGATCAATTAATTAGAGTAGCTTAGTTGACAACACTTTTTTTTTATTTGATATTTTTTATTCAAACCACATGCACCTCTCACTTATGAGCACAATTCTTACCAAGCTTAATTATTTATTTGAACCCACTAAACTTTTTTTCTCTAGAGTCGCCACTGTATGTATTGCCAAATTTTCAATATATATTATTAATTCTTATCTGATAACAATAGGATGCTGTGATTGTTAAATATTTAAATAAAATAAAATAAAATAAGTGACCCCCTCTCATCAAAGCAGGATATGGAGAGAACAAGATACACTACGGATCAATGGTTTCAATTTTTTAAAAATCAAGTGTTTTTTTTCTCATATTTTTTTGTTTTAGTAAATAGTTTTAAAATTTTAAGTACGGTAATTTTTTTACTTTTCTAGATACATCTTACTTAGATATATTTAAATAGTAAAATATTTGTGAAAAAATATTTTTAAAAATTAATAAATATATAAAAGTATGAAAAATGTACTGAATTTTAGTATTTTTTTATATTTTTGATATTTAGTGAATTTTTTAAAGGATTTTTTCACAAATATTATACTTTTTAAGTGTATTTATATTAGGTGTGTCTAAAAATTAAAAAAATTACTTAAAATATTAAAAAAATCAATGAAAACAAGAAAAAAAAATACGAAAAATGAAAAAATAAAATCTTTTAGAAAATAAATTTTAAAAACTGAAACCAAACAGAATAAACTCTCATTTAAAGCGGGATACGAAGAAGGAAAGATATATTACATAGCAACGGGCATAGAGCCAGGAAGGGACCAGCAGGGGCACCTCCTCAATTTTTAAGAAATCTTTTGGAAACGTTTTTTTATTTTTTCTTTCTAAAATTATATATATCTTCTAAAATTTTCCAATTTTTTTTTTTTTCCAACAAACTCAACCAACTATTAATTAGTGATTGAATCTTTATTTAATTCACAATTAAATCTAAAAAAACTATCAAGATAATTTTTTTATTATAATGATATATATGATATTGGAGTAGCTCTGAAATATTGATAATTGTTTTATTTTATTTTAAAAATTGATATAACCTAATAATTTGTATTAGTATTTGTGTGGGTGATTTTCTGATCACACTGCCCGACTCAGTATTCAGCTGGAGAACACTGGCAGAATAGATGACACCTGACTAACCTGCAACAGAAATAGAAGATTCCGGCGGTGGTTTCGACCACCCGGGGCACTCCGACGATCAAGTCAGTATATCTCTAAAAAATAATCAATAATGCTAAACTCAATGCTCAAAGCATAAGATTGCGTACCTTAGACCCACGGGGGTGCCTCTCTTTTATAGTTACCTCAATCCTAATCCCAATAGAAGCCTGACTTCTATAAATTCCTGTTTAGTACTTACTTTGGACTCCTTCAGAGATAAACTCCCTAAGAGCTTTATCCTGATCTTAGCTAAGCCTCCTCTTCATTCTAGGAGTCTTGTCCCTTATCTCTTATCCGATTATATCGGCTTTCGATATCTTCGGAGATAACCTCGGCTTGATCGATATCACCTCGGCGTTATGACCCTGACACGTGGCACCTCGGCTGATACGTCGGCGTCACCTTGCCACATGTTGGTACTCAAAAATATATCCCCACAACTGCCCCCTAGGTTCTATTACCTCAGCATTCTGAGGTGATGAAACCTATATCATTCCATTTTTCCAGTACGTCGGTTTTCAGTATCTCAGCCGAGATCATTATTTTGGCCGACATGTCATTGCTGAAGAACAAGAATTTCAAGAACCCTTTCACGCGTATGAGCTGTCATACACCATAATTTAACCATTTTTAGCCACGCGTTTCTTTCTTACTAGTTCGTACCTGTGACGCGTCTGTAAGCCGTCTCTCTCTCACGTGCGCCGTCTGACGCATACGTTCTTCCAGGCGTATTGATTACTTTTTGCCGCCGTTTTCATTTTTAACAAAACATCGCTTCGTTTTTTTTTCTTTCACCTTATTTTCGTTTCTAGAAAACTCCTTCTCTCTCTAACTTTCTCTTCTCGAGTCCGCCATTGTTCAAGCTTCCTTGCTCTGAAACTTATTCCGTTCACCCCTTCCAGCATGTTTTGCACCATTTCGTTGCCTCCACGACCGTCGTCTGACTTCGGCGATCTTTACACCGGCTTCATATTTTCTGGTAAGGAACTTGTTTTCGTCTTATTCCAATTTTTGATCTTTTCTAGAATTTCTTGTTATTATTGCCTTGCTCAAACATTTAATTTGCGAACCATACATCTGAATGCGTTGATTTTACTTTTTGCTTATACCTTGAATACATGTACTGTTCATAGTTTTCTTGCACATCTTGCCACTGTTCTTGGCCTTCAACCATTTGTGTTCTTCATGTTTTTGATAGTCCATCTCTGTTCTTAATTCTGAAACTTCACCTTTGTTTTCTGGTTTTTTGTGTCTTTTCTAGATCTGTGCCTTTGATCTTCATCTCCATAGTTTTAGGTTTGGAATTTGTCTATAGAACCCACATTTTAGGAAAAACTGAAACATCCCTTACAAATTTTTACACCAGTTCAAACTTAGGTTTTTTGCCGAGATCCCAATAACCCTTTTTGAAATATCTTCTTTCTGAAATCCAATACCTTTAGTTATCCCGATATCATGGGTATGTGGAAACATCGGGTAGACACCCCCTCCAAGCTAGAATTTTTTAGGCAAGAGTTTGAAATCCCAACCGATGTTAATCTGAGGTTGGCTGGGGATGATGACTCCATCATGCCTACTGATCACTCCATGCCCTTCCCTGTAGTTGCTTTTATTGAGTGTGGACTTCCGTTTCCACTTGACCCTTTTTTCCGTCAAATCCTTCATTTCTATAAATTGAACCCAATGCAACTCGCCACCTTACCGAGTTATTACTGGTACCATAGCCTTAGTTAAACAAGAGAATGCCAGGATTACACTTGTCGACTTCCAATACTGTTATACCATGTGTCGTCTTAGAAAAGACACGGACTATGTTTATTACCTTAAGCCGAGATCCACCAAATATAAAATCGTAGCCGACCTCCTAGACTCCAACAAGGGAACTGGAGACGATTACTTCATTGTCTCGGGCAATTGGGAGTTTCAGCCAAACGACAACCTCCATCTTTATCCCTTAAGCCGCACTGTTTTGGGGGAAGGAGCTGGTAAGGGCCACCTTTCATAAGTTTCTTTTTATCTTCTTGCATAAAGTTTTCAATATTCTTGTTCTAATGTCTATGCTGTTTTTATCTTTTGTAGCTCTTCCTCAACCTCCAAAGAATTTTCGCCAATCCTTCTATCCCAGCAAGGATTTGAAAAAACTTCTGAACTTGCCAATTCACAAACGAAAGGCGCCTCTGCTCCTCAACTTTATTCCAACATACAGGTCCGCTTTGCCGACGTCCCTTGGAGGAAGAAAAAAAGTCTTTCTCCACCATCTGCCACAACGCTACAGACCATATCCACATCTCGAACAGACCGGGGGTCAACCTCTGATCCAGCCAAGCAACCGTCAACTTCAACTCCATACTTGGTTCTAATATCACAACGCCGCCGCTGATGCCGAACAGTCTCTACTGCCGAGATGGGTCGCCCAAAACCAGTTGCAAAAGATCTTCTGGCCAGCATTCCATTATCTGTTGACGATCAACTAGCACAAACCCAACCTCCACCGAAGCCGAAAAGAATAAAAAATGCTCAACCAAAGGCTAAGGTAGCTCAGGTTGAATCTGAAGACACCTTGCCTATCTCAA